AAAACGCTACGAATTAATTCCAACACCTAATATATATATATATATAAATAAAAGTAGCATGTTTAAGAAATATATTAGGTGTTGGAATTAATTCGTAGCGTTTTACAAGTGATGGGAAGTACTTTCATTAATGTATTTTTTAATGCTCATGTGAAATAAATAACATTCTTTCATTAAAAACGCTACGAATTAATTCCAACACCTAATATATATATGTATAAATAATATAATACTTGCCTTCAAGAACATAGTACACACATATGGCGATTTCCGATTAATCGGTGCACAACAAAATACGTATCTTGCACGGAGTGGTAATAAAACATGCTGTATCATATCGGCTAAGAATTTAAAGTCATCTATATGGCACATAAAGTAAAGGGAATCGTCGACTGTGCATAACGATACAAAAATATCCTAAAATGGATAAAGCATTATAAGGAATTATTTACGATTCATTACAATTCCATTGTCAGCTCCGTGCGAAATCTACCATTAGATTTGATAACGATGAGTTTGGCAAATGATAAGCGTACAGTTCAATTTGATCCGCCGTTGGATGGAGACCAGCTTGCGTTATTGTTTCCGGTGTTTGACTCAACAAATTTTTCAAAGTTAATAGATCCTCTCGTTTAAATGTAGTTACATAGCCCTGTGAAGTAAACGCGGTGTAACTATAATTTAATACTTCTACATTTTCCTCTGTCTTTTTTGATGTTCAGAAACAAATTAAATTATTACTTACTGTCTCCCAAGCTGTGCCATAACGTCCAGCACGACCTGCTATTTGTAAAGCCGCCGACACAGATATAACGTCCATTTCTTTTTCACCTTTTTCATTAGATGTTGGCTGAATTAACGAATAAAATATAATTCTTCGAATATGCCTATAACAATACAGGATACTTTTAAGACAATCGTTTTCAATTATATGCATCTATACTACTTAAAACTTCAAACAATAAACGTATAGATTCAAATTCAACATAAAATACGTGCATAAAACTTACAAATTCAAACCCATTCCAATGGCATTGGTTGCTACCAAAATTTTACAAGAATTGTTAGGATCGTTAAATTTCGCAGCTTGCGCCAGCTTGGTACCTGGTGGTAAGCTGCCATATATTACAGCCACTTCTTTTCTTTTGCTCTCGAGAGAACGCGACACATTATATATATCGTTTTTGTTAAAGCACACTATGCAATCTCCTGGCATAATGTTATTCAACGTTTCGACAGCTCGATTTTCTACCTTTAGTTGTGTTAATCGTTTATATCTGCGAACTTCTACGTTTTCGCCCGTTGAAACACATATAGCTTTTACCTATACATAGCTTTTAATTAATAGACATCAAATATTAAAACATGGTTCATAAATGTATAATATAAAGATAAAAAGATACCAATTCTATAGCAGCATCTTCACCACATAAATGTATCTCATCCGCAGGAATTCCTAGAAGGGCCCTTGTCCATGCCCAGCCTCTATTAAGATCACGCATTAATTGAATTTCATCAATCACTGCTACTTCATCTGCAATAGATTATGATCGTATTTTCTTGTGTAAATGTTAAAGATGCCAAAGTACTCACAATTATTTTGTAGATTTGCCATTTCTACAGAACAAGATAAATGACTTGCTGGATTATTATAGCCTTTGACATGTTTCCGTTCTTCTCCAGTTAATAAATCACATGATGTTCCCTAAAAATAATATTAAATACGTTATTATATCTTTATTATACCTTTGATGAATTTAACTAAAATAAATATATATCTACCCTTTCATTGCATTTATAAAATACTTCTGCAACCAATAACTTTAGCGGTGCGCAATATACTCCACTTTTTGCGGTAATAAATCTTTCTAAAGCATGATAAGTTTTTCCACTGTTTGTTGGTCCAGCATGAAAAATTATTTTCCTATTTTTCGATCTTGCTAGAGGATACCTAAAGAATAGTCAAATTTTGTTACTTTTGTAAAAAAACATCTTTTTTTCTTAATAATTAGAAAATACATTATAAACTAAAATATATTATAAAATAAATAATATAGTAATTGTATATTAATAAAATAATAAATCTTGATAATTTTAATATTATGTAAATTTGTATTTTTTTTCTTACCAAGTAGCAGGACTTCGTAGATCGCTAATCTTTTTGAGATCGTCTAAGCAATCAAGATGTGGAAATATTTTCTTGGCATGACTTATGAAGTACGGAAAAATATCAGAAACATTTCCAGCGCCTTGCAGGATATCACTCAGGACTACATAGAGATCCACAGGTAATGATTCCGTTCCTAAGCAATACTGTTTAAAGTTTGTAAAAGCCTGTCCCTGGAGATAGTCTAAAATCAATGCCACAATTAAAAACCATGATCAGCGACATATATATTTGAATGCCTACGCACTATGTATTCCATATTGCTGAGCCAATTCCTTGATTTCCGTTTTGTTTGAGAAGATATTCAATATCTTTAAGAGATCTGTCTTCTTCAGAGAAGATCCAGTTAATTCAGCGCCGACATTTATATCATCTGGATTTGGTTTGATGGGTACAGGATGGAATAAAGATTCCGGTACGTTTGTATTACTGTCGTTTTTCTTGCCTCTACATGGTTGGACATAACTCGTGCCGAGAGCTGTTGACCTAGCAATGAAACAAATGAAACAGGAATCATAGTAGAAATATTAGGCCTGTTTTCTTTTTGCTAGTTTATCTTTCTTCCTTTTTTCTTCAGGAGGAAAGAAGAAGATGAATTGATGCAAAAGTTCAGCCAAAAAGAACAGGCCTATTCTTGAGCTTAACCTTGCAATATATTTATTAGACAGAAAGGAGATAAAGAAGAGATACGATCGAAGTGTATAGATATTATATATTTAATATCTAATTTTAACATATGTAGATGTATACCTGCGTATAAATGCTGCCGCTGATAAAGCGCTTTTTCGCATCAACTGTTCTGTCATGGCACATTTAATAAGTATCATCTTTCTTTCAATCGTGAACGAAATCTTGTCAAAACATCACAGAAAATCAGAAGTACATAACTCGCAACTAATGTATATACATCGATCAATTGTATTCGACAATATTCTTCTTTTTCTTCTTTAAGGCTAAGGATTTCAGTCTCCAAAAGTGCAGTGACCATGCAGACATACAACTTTCTGGGAAAAGACTTCAAAGGACCAAAAGTCTCCTCAGTCCTCAGTAAGTCAAAATCAACGTGAGTTTCGATTATTCTGAGTCCGATATTCTGACAGAGAGAAACTTGAGAGAGGCCATGCCGGCCTCTTTTCTGTTACCGTCACCTATACACTACCGCCAGTACATCCATTATTAGTTAGAGAATTACGTGACTACATTTTCTAACACTATCGATAAAATCGTATCGTCGAAAATAGATGTGGTTCGTCTCTGTACTAATTCCTCAAGATAGAAGCATGCCGACTGTCCTCAGGAGTGATGGTTTAAGGGGCTCTGCACAATAAAAGGAAAAGGGAACAGAGAACAGAGTATAAGAATTTCAACTATCAGAAATCAGTTTCTGAAATTCTCTGAAGAAATTCTGTTCTCTGTTCCCTATTCCTTTTATTGTGTAGAGCCCCTAAAGCTCCTGAGTAATCGCGGCGGCTATGTTGGAATCGTGACGTCAGAAACGAGGAATGACACGTTAATTTATGCTGCAAGCCATTTGTAAATAAAGACAATTTGGATAAATCTAAATGATGAGATTGCTTTAAAATACCAGTAAAAATAGGCAGAAACTATCCTTTTCTTCCTTAATAGTCAATAAATAATCATAAAAGGCAAGTAAAGTGAGCCTAATTTCGGGTAGAAACACACAGTTTAATAGTTATTGAAATGAATAAAATATAAGCTTTTATGTATAAAATTCCAGCATAAATATAGTTTCTGCTCATTTTTAGGACTTTCATAAGGACGAGATATGTCACATTTCCACAATTAAGCAAATAATAACGAAATAGCATGCAGCACAAATTTTGTCGTCAAAACATCACTTTTCCACGCCTATAAGTTCAGCCATTTATCGTGACGAGGCACTGTAACACACATACACAAGCACGAACCCATGTGTTCGGCGCGCCGAGAGACATGTACATGGACTATGCTTATGTGTGTGACTACTGATTTTGCCACATTTCTGATTTTGAATCGCACACTGACTACTCAGGAGCCTTAAAGTGATATTATTAGAAAAATAGATTCGAGCGTTGAAATTAGAGAAGACACAGATGCTGAATGCAAAGAATGCAAGCAACGCAAACAGACCTATTAACTTATTATCACCTCATCAAGAATTGCAACAGCAATAATATATATTTCCGCTTCGATATAAAATTATAAAGACAAAAGTATTAAAAAGTATCGAAATAACAAGAAAAATGAATTCTATTTTTTTTTCTACCCATACAGCACAGAAAAACTGCAAAAATATTGCAAAATGATTTCACTGAAATATTGCAATATTGCATGGTAGTTGCGAAACGTTGCTGAATCATTGTTGCAAAATTCCAACAATGTTAAGATCCGCTTTTTGTTATATTGCAACAAAACGTTCCAATAATATTGCAATGTAATATATTTGGATAAATTTTTTACGAAGACTCTAAAATGAAAACTATTTCTATATATATATATCTCACTAACTTTAATTTTTCTACAAATCACATTTCTAATATGTGCTTTCCAAAAGCAATTTTGGCCAGTCGAAAGGGTTGAAACGTTTGTCAATTTTTCTCAAAAATAAAGTATATGATTTCACACGCCTAACTTGTGTTGGCACGCATGAGCTGATTTACATCTATCCTTAGGTTTATTCGTTGAAGACTATATCAACATTGATAACTAATATAAGTCAAGACTTATAAAAGTCAGATACATTAAGAATTATCTAAAGATACGAGAGCCATTAATTCCATATCATTAGTTTTCACGTAAATTTGATCAATAGCTACATTGAATAGATTAAGAAAAACAATATTATTAATTATATAGGACTCTTAATCTTTAAAATATATAAATATAATTAATATAAGTCAAGGCTAATGAGAGTCAGACGCGTAAACAGGCGTAAGAAATTAAAAAAAAATCTTGAAATAATATTTATTTATTGAATAATATTTATCGACAGAATATACGTAAAAACTATTATTTCAAGATCTTCGAATTTACATAAAAACTAATCATACGGAATTAATGGATCTGGCATGTCTTTGGATAATTTTCAAGCAAGATGTATCTGCTGATAAAATATCATCGATAATAAAAACTTCATCCACAGAGGAAATCTTCAAAATAATTCCCTTGGTAATGCACACACTTCTTCCAGCGGTCTCGCCATTGTTGGAAACACTTCTGAAGCGCATCTTTTGAAATGATGTTTAGCTGGGCCGTCGCGTTCCGCATAACGTCTTCTCTTGATTCAAATCGGATTCCTTACAGCGGCATTTTTAACTTGGAATAGCCAAAAATCAAGGGGACTATTTTGAAGATTAGAGTAAATGTATTATGTATAAATAAATGTGCCGATCAAAGATTCGATATTTTTTAAACACACTTTGTATGGGAAATTCCGACGTATATAATAACAATAGCTGTAATAGAGAGTTGTCATTTCATTTAGTATACTTGAGTAACGTTAACGTGAATATCAAGAATGGTACCAAGTTTAAAGAAGTAAACAATCGCTCATAGTGTAAGAAAAAGATTAGCAATTGCGCAAAACAGACATCCCGTTTTTTTGTGTTAAACGGATATACTCGTAACATGTTTCTTAAACAATAAACATATTAATCTCGAAACAAAGAAAATACAATTTGGCACGATCTACAAGAAGATATTAATTAATTTGAAATTAATTAATTTAGAATTAGTTAATTAAATAATTTAAAAATAATATACCTAAATTTCTGTTTTAGTTGTAAATATACATAAATAATTTTTATATTTGTTAATAATAAAAACATAAGCATTGACGTTAGGTATTAATTAATTTAAAATTGATTAATTAATTAGGAATTTATTAATTTGAAATTTGTAAAATATATTCTAATTCATAGTTTAGTTTTTTTAGATGGGAAGAGAAAATATTGAATTCTACGAAGCAGATTATAATACGATGTGCTGCAGAATATAATGACTTTGATTCGAATGTTATATACAAGAAATGCATGCGTTGCAAACATGGTAAAATTGCCAGTTTTCTTCACAGTAAGCTGAAGACTGTCGTGATTAAAGATTAGACAATATCAATTAAAGATCCAGGACGTTAATGGATCCCTTACTACTTAATGAGGAGAGTAGTAGGGGAACATTAGAACATCAGATCATTAAATCTCTAGCTGTCACATCATCAATATCATCAGAAGAGCATTTACAAAGCGTGATATACATAATCATGATCAAGAGCACTAAAGAGGGACACTTATTGGATAATTGTTAAATGCTGTTTAGATGTATTATTTAATTCATTATCAAACAGATTTTTTATATTATTTATGATTTATATTTAAATCGCGCTGGTTGCATTTACATTTTATAGTTTACAAAAAATTTGTTTTCTTATATTGAAAATATTTATAAAAAAAACTTAAAACACTTTTTTTTTTAATTTTATAAAGATGATGTAGGAAGAAATATAATGTACACGCATGCTCGGAAAATATATTTTTTATTATCGAAAATTTAAAGAAGCAAGCGTTTGTGATTTAAGTCTCCACACTCAGCATTATTCCTTAAAAGATTATTGGTTATGTCGGTTGTGACATTGGAATTTAATTTCTATGGCAATAATATGCCATTTATCAGTGCTGTAGGAAATAAAAGTGACACACGAGAAAAATACCAGGAAACATCCGGGATTCGAACCGAGGCCTGATTTTCTCCTCCATAATATATTGGTAGACTTCTGTCCTACCAACGAGCTATACAGCACTGACGCTAATAGCTTCTTTGTTATGTTTATTTCCTCTAAATTTCTTACGGTGAATAAACATAAGTGAGATTATCGACAGTATTTTATTTATCTAACTAGTTTTTTTGAGAGTTATTGATATATGACTTAATAATTTTTTAATAACAGCATTAGAGTAGCAATATCACATATATTATAATCAAAAGCTATTAATTAGTGTTCAATTCTTAATTGTCAAGTTTTAATGAATAGTCTTATTGAATATCTGCTCAAAGATACCACTTGTCCCATATATATCGATGGATATTAGTTTCTTCACATCATCTTATAAAGACACCGATATAATATTTTCTTTTCATATAAATAAATAGCTATTTAAATTAACTGTATATGTGATTATCGAATTTGAAAAACAATATGTTGTAAGGAAGATATCTACAATCATTTCTTATGACGCTATGTATAATGAATTGTTATCTTTGAATATTTAATTTAAAATATTACATAAATAATAAATATAATTTTATATAATATATTTTTGCTATACATGTTATAATAATAGTATAATATTAATATTTGATATTTGTTACTTAATAATATAATATTGTATTTAATATTTGATGTCCTATTTATGATATATTTAATCTAAATTCGACTAAACTTTTATTATTATTATAGTCAAATAGGAAATGATGATTTTATCTTGAATAATATATTGAGCTTGTCGCCCTAGGCACCAAAAAGACGTAGCAAATTCGGATTTTTGGAATATTACATACAGTATGTACCATGATGGGTATGTCTATTTATATCATGGTATATAGTTGTAAAAATTCGTCTATCTTCACCTATTACTTTCATTTGTTTCTTCAAGTTTACGAAAGACGCAGAATTGCTACATGGCGAACAAAGGGTTAATTTCTCGTAAAATATAAGCTAAATATAAAAAATGTGTCATCTTTCTTGATAACGCAATGTGTAAGCGACGCTGCGTTAAAATACACAAGAAAATATATATGCAATCTGATCTTAAGAAGACATCGTTCAGTAGAAACTGCAAAGACTTTATTTCTGCAATTGTGTTTATGCAGTTTGTACCTCCTGTAAATTTCACAAGTTGGAATGCGCTGCGCGAGATGAAAGTCCGACAAGATCGGAAATTCAACGATGTCTTGGCACTACGCTGGCACAAGTTTTTTTCGACTACAGTCATCAGGAAGCTGTGAAGCTGTTAGATTCAGCCGAACAACTTTCACAACAATTATGTTGCGCCTCACAAGACAGTCAGTTAAAGGCAGATGCGATGGTAGCGTGGATGGAAAAGCAGAAAATTCTTAAATCGTATCTACATAGTGACATTCTAGGTAATATTGCATTTGAATTAGAACATCAAAAGTGATCCATATACTTATATTTATGCTTGTTAATATATTATAAATTCTTGATTTATCAGCACTGGGCGAAAGAGAGCTGAAGAAGTTTCAGGCAGAGATCGAAGCAATGATGCAGAAAAAACTGAGGGATGAATTTGCAGAGGAATGTCATATACTCGAATCTGAAAAGAGGTTTATCATTAGACGCAACGCGGATGAAATTCATTCTAAATATGAGGAATATTTCAAGGGCGCTCAGCAGGAATTGACAGAGAAGTTACAGGTGACCAGTATACATAATATGTAATGAATGAAAATTTATTTAAAATTATACAACAGGTAGAGTTGATGAATATAAATGCCAAATGTAATGAGAAATTGCAAAAGGCAATCATAAAAGCGCAAATGGATACAACACACGATGTGCTAAGAAAAATTCGGCCTCAGATGAATTGGGTTGTTACATCTCTTTATAAGGAACTTGAGCAAACTCGTCGGGCACAGAAAGAAAAAATGATTGTTGATTTTAATAACATTATGAGGTATCCAAAAAATGTCTAAATAAAATAACCAGACCCTTTATAGCTTACCCTAGCTTTGCAACTTTTTTTTAATTTTTTCTTAAGTATCCAAAATTGAAAATGATAGATTTAAAAAAAGAACCATATATTTTTTAATATTAAAAAAAAATATGAGACATTTTCGATTATTTACATACAAGATGAATCAGAGTAGTTGAACCAATTTTTTATCCTATGAAAAAATTATCAATTACATATCTAATTATCGACTTAACGATATAGATCGGATGCATAAATAACACCATTAGCGTTTTTTCGTTATGCAATCACAGATAAGGCTATCTTTCTCTTCTGATCCCTGAAGACAAAAATAGTCTTAACTGTGACAGTTTTTAGTTGGATAACGAAAAAACATCCTACACGAACTGCTGGTTTGAGCACGAAAACAGGTATGTTTAATGTTGAGTTATGAAAATTGTTACAAGTTATTAAAATGCATCTTTTTCTCAGTGCGTTTAGATCAGCAATTCTCACTATGTATTCACACATCCGATCTGTATCGTTAAGTAATTAGATGTGAGGTCGATAGTTTTCTTGTAAAGTAAAAAACTGGTTCAACTATTCTGATTCACTCTGTATACCCAATACGTGATCTAAGTATATATTTTTCTCTTTTTCTTTTTTTAAAAAAATGTCTTTAAAAATGGAAAATAAATTGATCTAATGTTACTTTTATAAAATATTTTATGAGTTATTAATATTGATATAAGATTTATTATATTGATATTGATGTAAGATTTATTAATATGTAAGAATATATAAAGTACTTTTTTGTATAAATATTAGGTGTTGGAATTAATTCGTAGCGTTTTTTAATGAAAGAATGTTATTTATTTCACATGAGCATTAAAAAATACATTAATGAAAGTACTTCCCATCACTTGTAAAACGCTACGAATTAATTCCAACACCTAATACATAATATAATTATTTATTTATTTATTTATTTATTATTTATTTTACTTATTCCTACAATGTTTAGTAGGTGAATTATAATCCATAGTCTAGAATATCAAAAAGCAAAAAATTACAATTATGGCTTATTAATATTAATTGCCAATTATGACAATTAATTACTCAATATGCCTGAAGTTATTCCGTATCAATATGCCGTATTTATTCTACTTTACAAAGAGATTTTCTTTTTGATTAATAAACCACTATAGAAAATATAAACTAAACACGATGTTGTAAAGTATTATATAGAGATACAACAATATAAATTACGAAAATTAATAATCCCTCATCTCTTGATAAAAAGCTTGTTTACCTACAAAATATTATATCACTCTTCACTTTGCTTTATTACTAATAAACAGAATGAACAAACACCAAGCAATAAATTATTTCAATCAAATCATTTCGGCAGTCTGTATGAGTACCTTATTAATATTATCTGTTGAATTAATTGTGTAGTTATCCATAAACAGCAAATGGATTATATTGAGTTACTAGGGTTATATAGGGTTCAATTACCTTATTACAACTTTTAAGTTTTCGAAATATCATAATATATAAAATACTGAACTTTTGATTTTTATGTACAAAGGGAACAGCATTTCAAACTTGATGCAAAGATCAAGGAAATTGAGAGCAAGAAAATGGAACAGTTGCGTGCTCAGCGTCATGAACTCGAAATACAAAATGTAATGAATATTATTTGTACTTTTTTCATGGAAAGATTACGTAGCAGTTTACAATTGCAAATAATAAACAAATATTTTGAGGTAAATATGTATATACATATTATATAATTTGTACATTTGGAGATATCGTAATAAAAACATTTAAATATGCATTTAAAATATATAGGAAAAGATTAAATCCTTACATGAACTTATCGCTAAACAAGAAGAAACTATAAATACAATGAGTGAGAAGATTACAAAATATCGCAATAAGAATAAAATGCTTCAAGAAAAAATTAATGCTCTTACTAAAGAATTTCAAAAATTTATAAATTTTGCATTTAATACCTTACCAGAACATGCCGACTTTTTATTGCCATTAGATTTACTTTCTGTAAATAGTACAAACAAAGAGGATAGTAAGCAAGAAAAAAGCGACAAATAAATTAAAAATGTACTTTATTGGAATAATGTAAATTGGAATAATGTTATATATACATATATATTGTAACAAATAAAATATAATTATCAGAACGAATAAATGTTATTTATATTTTATGACAGGTCATCTAAAAAGTATCCGCGGTACTTTGTCACTAGATATATGACCATCAACACACATCTAGTGACAAAAAACCGCGGATACTTTTTAGATGACCCAATACATTTTGTAAAATGTAAAAAAAATTCTCTATTTAAGTTGTTTGTATTAAGAAATAAATGTACATAATTTTATTTATATTTATTTTATATTTTTATCAGTAAATTATATAACTAACCGTGTTTATAAATATGGGCTTGTGATCTTTGAACATCCCTATTGACTCAATCCAGCTTCCTCTTCTCTATCCTATATAATAAATACAACTCTTTTTGCACACCTCTAATCAGATTCATAAATACATCGATAAAGTAATAAAAAGTATCTCGTCAATGAGAAATATGTTAATCAAGCTATTAATCTTAAAAAAGCGACAGTCTCACGTGCCGTAAGTACATATATTATACACGTAATTACATATATTGTTAATAACAACACTATCTCTTATTTCAATAATTTACAAATCATGTCATAAATGTCATTGTTGAATTACAAAATTTCTTCATTTATTCTTTATTTTATTTTTTATTTTAAAACTGACGCCTCTGATGCTTTGATGTGATTTTTATAGGTTGTCCAGCCCCAAAAGTTCATATAACGCGCTACTGATAATCAGGGTCTCGGACCCTGGAGAAATTCAAAAAATTTCGATCCGGATAAAAATTTGAAATCTAAATCCAATTTTTAGTTCCAATCCTTTTATCGTACCGGAATTAATTCGATTTCGGTCTTTTTAGGTTTCGATTTTTGATAATCATATATCTGTAATGGTCACCGTTATCAAAAGAACTAGATACCAAAAATTGAGTAACCTTGGATTATAATCATAATCAGGCCAAAATTTTAATTTCAGTCCGAGTCTTTGTTGATAACTGATCAAAATATTCACTCATTAATCTATGAAAAACAAATCTTTAACACATTTTATTAATCTGTCCTTTAAGATACAAATACTAAAGAGAAAGTAGTTTATTTTATGTAAGTCCAAAAAAATGTTATGTAAAATACAAGAGAATAGTTTCTTGCTTTTGACATGCGGCTATAATAAGAGAACAGGCATCATTACGTGTTTGAATAACAAAACATTTGTCTCATATATTTATTTCCCATTTATGTATTATTTTGTTTATTCTCATTGCGTTTATTTTTGTAAATAATTTTTGTATTATGGATAGACAAGAATAAGAAAAACTGCTCCAAATAATCATGAATAATAGTAAAATAAAAGAAAGATAATATTTTTTAATTTTTTAAATGATCAATATAAATATTATTTAGATATTATTTTAAAAGGAGAGAAGAAAAAATATATTACTGCATAATTTTATAAATAATCTTTCTTAATATTTGTTTAAAATTTATTGCTATTGTTTTTACTCATTTTCATTAAGAGAGTTATTTTTTTTAGGTTATAAAGGTCAATCATCTAAATTGAAATGATTAAACCGACTCAACTAAATTATTTAGAAATACTAATAGAATTTATTTAATTTTGCATCGCACTTAGTTACTTTCCGTAATATATTTGTTTAAATTCGAAGTATCGAATTGACTAAACAATGCCGAGAGAATTGATAAATATTATGTATTTTCAACCAAACGATGAAATTAGATATGACCAAATTTTTGTTAAAACAAACAATAGATTTCGTTAATTTTTAATTTTTAAAAATAACAAAAAGTTTTATTCATCTTCCAAAACTTTTTGATGGATGAACCAAATGCGATTCAAAATTAACGAAATTAATTATTTATTACAATTTTTAGGTTAAATAAAAACTCGTTTGATTCATACATCATTTAATTAAAAATAAATATTATTTTTCTCTAAAGAAATGATCAAGTATCATATCATTATATAACGTCAATTGTTCGACGTGTTTCCTTCAACTAAATAAAACTGATAAAATATTGTATATTTTCAATCGAACGATTGAATTAGATATAATAAAATATTTTTTGGAACAATCAGTAAATTTGTCAACTTCAATTTTTAAAATATAACAATAACTTTTATATTATCTTCAAAAATGTTTTGTCGATTGAACAAAGCACGATCCAAAATCAAATAAATGAATTATTTTTTAAAATTTGTAGGCTAAATAAAAACTCAAAATCAGTTGATTCATATATGATTTAATTGAAAATAAATATTATTTTTCTTTAATATAACCAAACATAATTTTATCCTTATAAAAATTTAGTATCACCAAACAATTAGTATCATCAAATTTATTGTTTGATGATACTAAATTTTTGTAAGGATAAAATTATGTTTGATTATATTAAGTAAAATATTTAATTGAATCTATTTTTTTTTAATAACAAAAATGTCATAACTGTTATCAAACTGTTTTTTCAATGTAAACCAAAAATTAAGAATCTCTAATATGTTATCTTGGTCTTTTATTGACGTGATCAAATTGGTTACGAAATGGTTACGAAATAAATAATTATACTTATAATTATACAGCTCGGGTTGCATTTCATTAAACGACGCTTGCGAACATTATTTTTAATTTTCGATAAAATAAGGATAAAATAATTTCCCGACTGTTGCGATAGATTTAAATAGAAGCCTAGCTTTCCTTGAATTGTAATCTCAATCTTTATTTTAATGAAATAATAATAATAATTCGCAAACTAACTAAAATAATATATATCTATCTACTAACTGAATTAAAAATATAAAGTTAGAAACATGACTAACAACTTTTTTACCCATTTCTCGAGATAAACTTATATAGTAATATACAATAGTATATGAGATTATTATAGTTCAGTAAGTATGTGTTAGGATGATACATAGTTAAGCATTCTAAAAGGTTTTAAGAAACAAATTCTTCACTCTCTCTTAATCAAGATAAAAACTTCATATATAATTCAGTAACCTCATGGAAGATCAAATTATCATATAAAAAAACATTGTACTGATTAATTATAAGATAATTCAACGATAGAACTTATTATAATAATAAGCATATTTATAAAGTTGATCAAATCTTTAAAACGAACATAACTTTATCGTTAAATGAAGATTTTTATGAGCACTATGAAAATCTGCAAGTATTTTTAATCATATAATATAAAAGAATTGAATAGAATGGTTTTAATATTTGACTGAATTATTATACAAAGTAATTGAAACTTAATAAATTGTAGGTAATAATAATTCCAAGGTAAACTTGACTTTGTCTTCGAGTTAAATAAATTTAACAAATTATCAAATAGAACAATGCGATTAATTAAATATTTCTATTGCATACGACAAAGAATAAATTCATTCTGACAAAAAATATAGTCAATTTTAATAAATGTTTAGTTCAATACTGCTTGCACTCTTAGAGAAATCATTTTGTATGTACAATCAAAATTTTGTTAATATGTGACTATTAAATTTTAACAAAATTTTGGTTTTACAAAATGATTTTTCTGAGTGCAACTAAACATTTACTTAGAGTAAATAAATATTTACTTAATAAAAAAAATTGTTAAATGAAGATTAAATTTTTCTTATACCACATAATATTATATATCTCTATATTTAATAAATATTTAATAAATATTTAATTCGCAGTATTGAACTAAATATTTATTAAAACTGATCATATTTTTTTCTTAGTGTGAGAATTATTCAGATTAGTATTTAAAGAATGAGTTGGATTGACAATGCGATTGCTTGAATCAATGATATAAATGTTTTTCAGATGGGATAAATAACAAAAACTGTCCAAACAACGTATGATTATAACTTAGCGTTAGCTTATTAAGTTATTATTTCAGAAATCTCAGATTCGAATCTCGTCGATACCGCGTATGCGTTTTCGAAAATTGTAACATATCTGATGCATAATTGTAATTCATAAATTGTTTGTAGAAGTGTAAAAAAAATTTTTTTTCATTCAATTGCGGAATTGTTACTATTATAAAAATAATTAAGTTCCCGTCACTTTGTAGAATAGTTGAGTCAAATATAAAACTATTCTATTCTACTGCAAATTTAGTTTATTATGCTTAATTATCCTATCAAATTAATAGAATATTTAGAATATTTCCTCAAACAAAGATTGTTTAATCTAAACATTGCGTTTTTTTCACAAATTCTCCAATTTCAATTTCGATAGGTTGAATCTTTGTTAATAGTTTGTTCGATAGCCTTATTCAAATCAATTGAGAATTTTATTCATTAATCTTAATTAATGGACATGCTAATCGTATTTTTCATTCGTTTATAATTATTTATACTAAACAGGTATTTAGTTACTTTCACTTTATATTTTTATATATGTTTCATGTATTTCATTTCTCGAACGAAAATTCAGTTGCTTCAACTAAATGAAGAATTTTTTTAACAAAATATTTATATCAATAAAATAAATATCGGTTTGCTCTATGAAAATTTTTTGTCAAAATGACAAAATGTGCGAATCTATCAATCATCTAAATTGTCCATTAAATTTTATTAATAAATACACGAATTGTACATTAAATCATTCATTATCATACATTGAATCATATCATTCAACAAAGCTTTTATTAATATTTGTATCAAATATTTATTTTATTATCTCAACTTTATTTTTCGATACAGACTTCATATCTTTCAGAATTTTTAGTTTCAGAAATTTTGGTTGCTTTATATTTTCGTGAATATCCATTTTAACTGTATTCTAATTAATAAAATTAAATATGCATTTATCAAACTATAGAAAAAAATTTCAATCCATTTTAATTCATTCTCGTTTGCTGGGATATTACACACACACAACTGGGGGACAAATATCATCAAATAAAGTAAGCAATCACGAGTTCAAATTAATGAAATATATATTATCAAAAAAATT